TAATATTTTCTATAAACTCCGTCAAACTCTACAAAGTCTAAAGTAGGACGGAAAAAATATGCAATGTATTTTTAAATGGCGGGAGTATGAGATCAGAAACAACACCATTTTTTGCAGGCATGAAACAACAATAATTAACACATAATATAAAATCATGCACATTTTGTAGCATACCAAGCATATGTAGATTCATTTTATTACAATATAATATAAAATCATGGCAGGAAACATGCATTATTTGCGAGTCATTTCTATGTTGTGACGAGCATATACTGATCCTACTCGGTAACTTGCAGCTGTCAACACACTATGTATAGTTTTTCTTGTTATATGGCTGACGGCCACGACGATGATGATGCCGATGCGACAACGTCTGGCGTCAGACACTTGTTTGGGTCGAAGCTATCTCCAGTGATTTGGTACCAAGGGTGGGCTGTAAAATGCTGTTTTATCATTATTAAAACTGGATTTGATATATTCACATAATAAATGAATACACGATTAGAGCATTTAATTGATTCAATGGGAGAAAAGTATGTGTCATTTGTAACTATCTACCAAGTTCTTGAGATATGATGATCATCAACCAATGCAACTTTTCACCAAGTATTCTAATCTAGTATAGTAGCTTAGTCAAAAATTCCGAATTATTTTGCACGGTAACCGGCTAACCGCCGAAACAAGGTATCATTTTTTTGTAAGGACTAACTGTAGATCTTTCTAGACCCTGCTTAGGTAGGTACTTGAAAAAATAATCCGTTTTGCCTAAAGCATTGGTGCTTATTGTTATAGTAGAGGTGCCTAAGGCCTTGTACAATGGGAGGTGCTTAGGGAGATGCTTAGGAAAATAAACCGAGTTTTTATTAAGCACCGGTGCTTATTTCTACGGGACAGACGCTTAATTAAGCGTCTACCCTCTAGAAATAAGCACCGGTGCTTAGAAAAAACTGATTTATTTCTCTAAGCACCTCCACCAAGCACCTTGCTTTGTACATGGCCTAACTAAGTGTTTGCCTTGCACAACTAGCACCAGTGCTTAAATAAAGACAGGTTTATTTCTCTAAATACCTTGCATTGTACCATATTATAGTAGGTCTTGGTACATCTACTCAAATTGTGTACTATAATTTTTATCATGTTATGCATGCAGTGTGATTGTATTTGAGCATCTACAATTGTACTGTGTTAAAAAAACATGTATGCAGTTGTCTTTTACTAGACATCTCACATACAACTTTGTCTTATCTGTATGTCTTAATTGCTCTGCATATATACCCACTAATGAAGTATGGATTGCTTCTGTTCGTTCACCGTCAGCATTTTTCCAGAACCCTCCTCTATTTTCAGGTAATTAACACGCCATCCACATTTAAGTGAGACAAAGAACCATAGAAAACCCCCACCATTTTCTGGTAAATAACCTGTGCTCAACCTTTAAGTGGCAGAAAACAAATTATTTTTCTGTTTTAGCGGAAACCCCCTGCCGTTTCTATAATTAACTCATTGTCCATCTAGAACAAATATTACTTTTTAAAAATAACCCATATCATTTAAACCCAAACTCCAATTTTAACAGTCCGCAGCCGTTTTTTATATTATGCTTTGTCATTACTGTGTAATCTAGATTATTGACTCTAGTGCAAGTGGGAGACTGAAGGAAATATACCCTAGAGGCAATAATAAAGTTATTATTTATTTCCTCATATCATGATAAATATTTATTATTCATGCTAGAATTGTATTAACGGAAACATAATACATGTGTGAATACATAGACAAACATAGTGTCACTAGTATGCCTCTACTTGACTAGCTCGTTAATCAAAGATGGTTAAATTTTCTAGCCATGGACATGAGTTGTCATTTGATTAACAGGATCACATCATTAGGAGAATGATGTGATTGACTTGACCCATTCCGTGCTTAGCACTTGATCGTTTAGTTTACTGCTATTACTTTCTCCATGACTTATACATGTTCCTGTGACTATGAGATTATGCAACTCCCGAATACCGGAGGTACACTTTGTGTGCTACCAAACATCACACCGTAACTGGGTGATTATAAAGGTGCTCTACAGGTGTCTCCGATGGTGTTTGTTGAGTTGGCATAGATCGAGATTAGGATTTGTCACTCCGATTGTCGAAGAGGTATCTCTAGGCCCTCTCGGTAATGCACATCACAATAAGCCTTGCAAGCAATGTGACTAATGAGTGAGTTGCAGGATGATGCATTACGGAATGAGTAAAGAGACTTGCCGGTAATGAGATTGAGCTAGGTATTAAGATACCGATGATCGAATCTCGGGAAAGTAACATACCGATGACAAAGGGAACAACATATGTTGTTATGCGGTTTGACCGATAAAGATCTTCATAGAAAATGTAGGAACCAATATGAGCATCCAGGTTCTGCTATTTTTTATTGACCGGAGACATGTCTCGGTCATGTCTACATATTTCTCGAACCCGGAGGGTCCGCACGCTTAAAGTTCTGTGACGAACGGTATTATGAGTTTATGTGTTTTGATGTACCGAAGGTAGTTTTGAGTCTCGGATATGATCACAGACATGACAAGGAGTCTCGAAATGGTCGATACATAAAGATCGATATATTGGACGACTATGTTTGGACACCGGAAGGGTTCCGGGAGGTTTCGGACATATACCGGAGTACCGGGGGGTTACCGGAACCCCCCGAGAGTATATTGGACCTAATGGGCTTTAGTGGAGAAGAGGAGGGGCGGCCAGGGTAGGCCGCGCGCCCCCTCCCCCTCTAGTCCGAATTGGACAAGGAGGGGGGGGGCTTTCCTTCCTCCTCTCTCCTTCCCTTCCCCCTTCTCCTACTCCTACTAGGAAAGGAGGAGTCCTACTCCGTGGGAGTAGGACTCCCCCCTTGGCGCGCCCTCCTCCTGGCTGGCCGCCTCCCCTAGCTCCTTTATATACGGGGGCAGGGGGCACCCCATAGACACAACAATTGATCTGTTGATCTCTTAGCCGTGTGCGGTGCCCCCCTCCACCATAATCCACCTCGGTCATATCGTAGCAGTGCTTAGGCGAAGCCCTGCGTCGGTAGCATCATCATCACCGTCACCACGCCGTCGTGCTGACGAAGCTCTTCCCGGAAGCTCTATTGGATCGTGAGTTCGCGCGACGTCACCGAGCTGAACGTGTGCTGAACGCGGAGGTGTCATACGTTCAGTGTTGAGGATCGGTCGATCGTGAAGACGTACGACTACATCAACCGCATTGTTATAACGCTTCCGCTTACGGTCTACGAGGGTACGTAGACGACACTCTCCCCTCTCGTTGCTATGCATCACCATGATCTTGCGTGTGCATAGGATTTTTTTTAAAATTACTGCATTGCCCAACAATAAAATGGTAAGATTTTTTTACTATTACGACATCCGTGCTTCTTTTACATAAATTCTTCTAAAAGTCAACTATACATTGCTAACTACGAAGTTATTACTATGTTTTTCAACAGATAATTCCAAATGATTGTGTGCCTCATCTGATGATGTTTCCGAAAGGTTGCGTTGATGTTATGAACTTACTGCCAGGTCATCCTACGCATCACAGCTGTCCATACCGGATTTCAAAAACCGATCAACACATGACAATCAAAGATTGGACAAAATGTATGGTCAAACGTACGGAGGTACTTGGAAGCAAAAGGAAGTGAAGCGCAAGAATTGGAGACAGGATGATCTGCATTCTCCATAATGATGAGTCAGGGCCTATCTTGTTTTATGCTATTTTACCTTAAAGAGGGTATTTGGGTCCTACCTAATACTCATGATCATGTGCTAAGAATAATTAAGCAGGGTTGGTTAGATGACTATGACGATGATTATCGTATGACTTGTTATTAATAACGAGTAGAAGTTGTATGATGATGATGATGAGTAGGACTTGTTATTATGATGATGAGTAGGACTTGTTATTATGATGATGCATTATGCGAGTATGAAGAGTTATTATATATCGACGGGTGAAATGAACATGGATTAGATTGAAGTGAAGGCAACATGTGGTGCATGTCGAAAGTAGTACTAATCCAAACTTGATCAAGTTAGGATTGGTATTATTTTCCACATGCACCACATATTGCCTTCACTTCAATCTAAGCCATGTTTAGACATAGCAGTAGCGCTCGTAAACCAAGCACGGAGATAAGAGAGGTCTCTATTACGTAGCTAACACCCTAAATTAACCCACCCCTTTCAAAAAAAACAAAAACCTCAGCTCATGCCAGCTGCTGACGCGTGGATGCCTTTTGGTCCCGGTTGGTGCTACCAACAGGGACCAAAGGCCCTCCTACCTGGGCTCGCCGCAGCGGCCACGTCGAGACCCATCTGTCCCGGTTGGTATAAGAACCGGGACTAAAGGTGTTGGGCTTTAGTACCGACCCTTTAGTCCCGCTTCCCCAACCGGGACAAATAGGCCTTCTGAACTGGGACAAATGGGCCTTTTTCTACTAGTGTGTTAAACAACGGTTTGGATAAGTTATTAGCTCTGCCTTGTTTTATTTCCTTGATACGATGTTTGGAGTCGATAAAATGCCCTTTATCGGAAGAAAATAGTGAAGTTTTGATTTGTGGTAGTAAAATAAAATGTACGATAAGTGAAAAGATTTGTCTTGATCTCAGAAACATTTAAATGAAATAATAATCCGGTGAACACGAGTAACTTAACAAATGGTAAATGTAATAACATGTGGTAAACCTTATTACAATGAAAACGATCGCACAAACAAATTGAAGAGGCATCAAACATAAGTTTTGTTTTTAACGAAAAGGGGGAGCCCCTGGCCTCTGCGCATCGGTTGATCAGCTTAAGTTGTTGCGCAGATCTAGGCAGCAAAGCACAAAGTGACTCCATTGTTAATTTGCACTGCAAATAATCAAAGAGGATGATTTATGAAATGAAAGATACACAATATTCAAGTGAAGACAAAAGAGGGGTAGAAACTCACTGTGTTTGATTAAGTCCGCGCTAATGAGCGCTTTCAACAAGCGAAACGACTGGCGTATTGCGATGGCCTCTTGCAGCTTGTTGCAGTTTAGCTATTATTGTTTGGTCGACTTGTGGATGGAGCGCGACTTCCTTGAGTTGGTCCATCCGTGTGATGTCGATGCCGGGAGGTCCAGGAATAACATGCAGATCTTGACAGAGAATATGAAGTGACACAAGTTTAGGCAGCGGGCGAGCTATGATTGCCAATTCCATGCTTTGCTTGCACTCGACGCATATCCGCTCAACGCTTATGAGGTGATCAGACAGTATCTCGACGCGCCTGAGGTTATCTTCAACAAGCTTGAGGTATTTCAGTCCCCTCACCGTGCTCAGACCGTCTCGGATATCCGTCCAGCTCAGACCAGTGGAGCAAAGACATAGCTCCTCCACAGCACGTAGCTGTGCAACAAACTGAGGGAATTTGCTCAGTTCGCCGCGCAGCTTGAGCGAGTCAAGCCTGCCCTTCTTGTTAGCATCAGAGCGTATAGTATTTATGAACTCACCCGAGCATTGCCGGAAGTCCATGGATAGGGACCGGTTAAGATCGGGCTCATTGGTGCCATCACGGATGAACTTTGTAACGGCCAGTGAAATAGCATCCAGATTTTTCTGACTTGAGTCGAATTTGAACCATATCTTCACCTTCCGCAGCCGCCTCATACGCATCATCAGTTGTGGAAATCCTGGACTCCCACTGGTGACAAATCCTGCTAGCGTCTCCAGCACACTCTTGTCTCTCAGGAACCTCTTTAATCTCCATCCCAATATGGTGTTATCTGTTTTGGATAGCTCAACCCTCCCAAACAGGTGCTTCAATCTGGGCAGCAGGAGGACCTCTTTGAACACCGTCACTGTTTCGGTTCCACTCAGATGGAGGGTCTCTAGCTGATCCAGGTGCTTGATTTTGCTTGTAATGGAAGGAATGCTGTCCAAATTGATGCTCAGATATTTCATCAGCTTCTGCTTGTAGATAGCCTGGATATGATCTTTACTCATGTGAGCACACTCTTCCAGATCCAACACTCGCAGTAATTCATACTTGGTGAAATCTAAAACAGCTTCATAACTGGCGATATTCGCCGCTCCAACAGGGAATACCGCCAAGGTCCGGAGACGAGATAAATCCTGAGGCAGATTCAGTTGGCCACTTGCCGGAGGATGAACAGATAGCCTGCGGGCGACTTGCCCCTGCAACGATGTGCGCTGCTGGGATGGTTGCGCCGCGCCGTCGCAGAACAGTATGAAATTCTCGGACGTTGACTGTTGGCAGATGTACCGGAACAACACATCTGTAGGTTGGCATCTCCTCACCTCCCCGTTGTTGCTTCTCCGGACGGAATCGAAGATACTGGAGTTGGTGAGAATTTTCATGTTCTCCAGAGCGTCTTTTTCTCCCAATACTAGTCCTTCAGCCAGCCATCTCCTTGCCAGGGGCTTAGTCCTGACAGGATGATTACGAGGGAACAAGCACAAATAGAGCAAGCAGTTGAGGTTATAATCACCAAGATTCTGAAGCTCTATGGGGACAACAAGAGCAGCCTCTGGTACTTGTGCAGTCCTCCTGCCCTCCCCTTCTGCAGGGAATCTAAACCTGTGTATCCTTTCCGTCGTTTCAATTGATCTATTCTTGAGGTCAACAATCTGGTTGGCAAAATCGGTGCGGGTCGTCTTGTTAGCATCGAAGCAGTCTATGCAGTCTTCAATGTCATATGCCAAGCGCCTCAGTTGTGCAATCAATACTGTCTGCAAACCAAGCAGCAAGCATGTGTGTCTTGATATCTTCAACAACACCACCAGCAACAAGAAAAAGCTTGTATTTAGGAGAGAAAAAGAGAACTAACATGTTCGCGATTAGGACCGTGAAGTTCAATGCAGCTTGGATCGCCTCGAGATCATCTTTGATGAACCTAACATTAGCTCTAATTTCTGGTTCCTTCTTTAATTTCTTTTCCATCAGCACACAGAGCTTCGAGACGACGACACCAGCTACCGCGCTAAACGCGGCTACACCAAACTCCATAGATCTATGTTTCCTTGCCTCCACAGATTGCTCCTCCTCCCTACATCTGCACGCACAGCAAAGTGGGGTTAGTGTTCCCGTAATGAAAGGGTGGTGGAGAAGGGATACCTAAACCTGTAGTGGATCGCTCGGCATCTTGGGTGCTTCGGAGGTTTTTCCCATCGGCTCCAAAGAATCAACGGAGAACTTGTTAGGTGACCTTTTTCCTGAAACCATCTAAATTAGTAGTCAACCATCGCTGGCTTTCTCTCATGAGGCTCTACTAGAGGACTCCATAATTTAAGCTAAGGTAATTTCATAATCGGAATCAGGGTGTAAATACAAAGTGTAGTGTTTTTTCACACGCAGACACTCTTACTACGCACACACACTCATCCCTATGAAAGGACGCACGCACACCCAACCCTATGAGCATCTCTAAGAGACTGAGCCAACACACCATCTTGAGATTGCCGAAGGTGACTTCATAGTAACAGGAACGTCTCCTCCCACTAAACAAACATCGCCGGAAGCTTGAAATAAATCAGAGAAATGCGAGCACCAGTGCGAAGGAACCATCTAATCACATGCAGAAGGTATAATCGTCTACTAAGCCTTTTCATATATGGTTTTCGGGAAAATAGTCACCACGAAACAGTTTTTAAAAGGAAAAAAAATGTATTAGTGCCTATTCAGATATGATATTAAAACATGCCACAAAAATTTAATGAATTGTCGTTGTGCCACAAACGATTGTGAAGAAAATATCCACAAGCCCTGGTGCGTCTACTTCCTGAGTTGCCTCCGGGTTACCCCTCGTTGTCGACTCCTTTGAACCATTTCTCCCTCTATGGGACACCATTTTACCATATCATCAAGAACATAGAGGAGACTCATGTAACCCTTTGAGGCTAACCAGTTTGCATGTCATCAACAATGGCTAGAAGATTGTTGTACCCTTTGGGGCCAACTAATTGGGGGTGAGTCACAAAAAGATGGCCACTCTAGAAAGACATTCATCCAGCCTATCACATTCCATCCGGTACATTGCCACCATCTAGTCTATTGCGATGCATGTCTGTCACAGGTCTGGTCTTGCCTCTTCCGCCAGCCAAGTGGGGTGGTAATGCTAGGAAGGCCTTGTTTGTTGCGGCTTTAATCTGATTCGAATCACCTAGGGATTCACTTTAGTGGCAAAGCTGATTCATAGTTATATAAGATCATATTTGTTTCAGATTTGATTGGATTCAAATCACCTGTAGATTCGCTTTAGTGGTAAAGCTGGTACACAGAATCAACTCCGCCACCGAAGTACACTTTGAGGCGCTTCAACAAATTGCACTAAAAATGACCCAATCCAGATTGAGCTTCACTGGCAAAGCTGATTTGAAATAGTTGTTTGTTTCAGATTTCAGATTCAGTTTCACTAGTAAAACTGATTCAAAATAACTGTTTGTTTCAGATTCCTGATTCAGCTTCACTGACAAAGCTGAATCTGGTTCCTGAAGCTCAAACAAACATGGCCTAAATTTAGGCTCATAGCCTCTGCTTCCTCTCTGCTAGGAAGTTGTTGCCCCACACACACCCCAAGTGCAAGGGTTTGCAGCAAGCAGCGATTTCTCTTAAACGACCTCGAGATTTATCGGTACAATAGGAGGTAGCGAAAGCAACCAATGATCAGTACCTGCGCACATAAATACAAAACCTCCTTGCGTCCCCAACATGTCTAATGAGTTTGTTAATCTCACTGGCTATGCTAGTTATAAAATGAATTAAATGCAACGATGGAAAGATTCGATGGAAACTAATAGGAAAGTAAAAACAAAGAATTAAAACAGTGTGAATTGAGACTTAAAGCTTGTGGAAGAAAATGATTCAGGATTCATAGGTTCACAAGAGGTCTCTCTCAAAAAGATAATCAAATTACAATTGGGCAACAATTAAAATACAATATTTATGAGTATGAATATTCATGGCATAATTAACATATGCGCATCAGCTTGGTAAATCGATAGACCATGATCCAATTGTATCTATAGCTGATACTCCACTCAAGACCGCTAACCAACATGTATCTTAAAGTATTAAGTAAAATCAGAGTATTGCAATGAGCATGGTGACATAAAGTGGATGATATATTGTCGTCACCTTGTGTTCAAAGGATAACTACACAACCAGATTTTTATACCTAGTGGCAACAATACAATACATGCCTTTTTCACTGTCTATCACCACGGTAGCTTATTTGCATGGTAGAACCCAACTATCATACACAACTCCATCTAAAGATCAAACCCCAAACTTACCTAGAGAGAGAATAGATCGGATAACATATATGAATAAGAATTATGCAGCACAGAACCCAAATATATCTCATGAAGATTCATGAATAAATCTGATCATAAAGTGACAATTCATCATATCCCAACAAACACAGTGATAGATTACATCAGATGAATCACAATCATGTAGGGCAGCTCATGTGATCTTTGAATTGAGGAGAGAGAGAGAGAGAGAGAGAGAGAGAGAGAGAGAGAGAGAGAACAATCTAGCTACTACTATGGACCCATATTCCAAAGGAACTACTCACGGGCAAACATGGTGACCTTCAAGTGGATGGAGACGGCCTCCGAGATGATTTTCCTCTTCGGCAGAGTCCCGAATATGGCCTTCGGATTGGATCGCGAAGGAACAGCGGTGTGCGGAAATGAAAAAATCAGGGTGATAAATTCTCGACGATTTTCGAAAGTATATAAA